TGGACAACCATTTCGACTGTATAGTGCTGCAACAAGATGCCTGCATGGGAGCTGGATATGGTGTCGATCTGCGCAGCGAGTACACGAACCCGATTCCAAGTCGACAGTGTAAGTTACTTGGCGGTGGTCATTTCGTTTCTCCCTTTGATGGTTCGCACGCGTTATGTCGGCATCTCCATTGTCAGTATCCCCCACAATATCGTCAACGTAGAAGATGGAATCAGTGCTTCTCCGGACGGAGCATACTGCTGCGCGCCAAATCTGTTTGTCGAACATCTTTTCAGCCCGAGGTGTCACTGTGTGCTTACCTTTCACCCAATCCTGACCGTTCTTCCTTTTCGTGACGAGTGACTCTATGACCATATTGCAGAACAGGAGGAGGCCACCGAATACATGACTGTCCCGGACGCCGGCAATCAACAGAGCATTGTTGTAACCTTCGACTGCACTTGTAGTTCGACCGCCAAACAATGGACACCCTCCACCGTAAGCTTCCTCGGCGCTTTAACCCGACGCAAGAACAGCCGCTTCGTCTTGTGTCAACGGACAGTTTCCAACATTTGTCCAGCTTGTGGGGTGTATTTTGCGCAAGTATGCCGCTACCGTCTGTGTGCTTGACCTTCCGTTACCTTTCAGTGTCCGGGAAGCAGGAAAACATTGTTCAACCTCTTCAAGAACTGTATCGTACTCCACCAAGGTTGTAGAGGATTGCAGACGAAAAACCAGCCGTCGAATAAGTTCAATATTGGGCTCCACCGCCAGATCGCACACGTTGAAGAAAATATGTAACGCGCAAAATTTCAAGTTGATCTGGATACCTCTCTGTCGAAGGCGTACCTGAGCGCCGCGTTGCTTTCCTCTGTCGGTGAAGACCGGCCGGTCGTGCAGCTTTATTCCAGCAGCAATGCAATTTGCAAAGAACCACTCGAAGTTGTCAGTTGTCTCCTTGTGAATGAAGGCAATACCGACTGGAATATTCGCCCAGTCACCATCTTTACCAACAATTACTACACATATACCATTGTATTGAGCGTGTTTCATGTAGGTCCCATAGCACTCAAGAATAGGGATCCAATTATCTTGAGCGGCGATTAGTGAGCCAATAGACAAAAACGTTCTGTAGAATCGGCCCTTAGTGTCGAGTTGGCAACATACCCTTGACCCAGGGTTCTGTCTCGCGAAGGATGTCAGGAAAGACGGGATTTTGTCGTATGTGTTTTCTGAATCCTCCATTAACTTCTTAGCTCGTGTGATCGCTTTGTATACTAACGCAGGTCGTTCATCAACATTTACATTGTCGACCACTTTTACTGAGGCCGATACACGCTTTCGAGCGCTGCTTAGTCCTGGGACTAGTGAACTCCTGAATCCAGTCATATCCATCAAAAGTTCTGTTGAGCAGCTTCCGACAGAGTCACAGCTCGGCAAATGCTCAAGGTTCAAAGCGCTCACAAACCAAGCTTTCGCAGGACAGAATGATGTTTTTGAGTTTGCACGCTTCGATTCCACTTTTTTTGTTAGAGTCACATGCCATTGACAGAGTGGCGACGTACAACTCCATACTTTCCGATGCCCAGACGACACTGTCTGCTTAATTGACTTAATCTCGTTGAAAGAGTAAGCACGAAGAAACGCTGTGCTGTCAGACGCTGATAGAAATACATCCCTCAATGTTACTGACTGCCTCCCATACTTGGACAGAAGGTTAACCTTGCCTGGTTCCATGATAGTTGTAGAGTGAGCGACTATGTATTGAAGTGGTACCTGTGGAGTCGTCCTTGCTTCTGACCCAGGATCTTTTTTTACTAGTGAACTTCAACAAGTGTAACCAATCAAACAGCATTTATAGACATGTGTAAGCATTACGGTCAGTTTGAAAAATTTGATGTATATACGGTCAGTTGCGATACTTATCCATGTGGATATCTTAGTGTATTTGTGCTCTTATACAAGTGCACGCTTGTATTATTCCATACAGTTTTGGGCATTCATCATTTCAAATCGGTGCCGAATGAAAATTCTGCTTACGAACACTAAATGTACGCTTACATACAATATTATGTGCCTCTATCTAATCAATACGGCATCCCATCATGCCAAATGGAGCATTACTTCCGTCGTAGAACGACAATGCACACGCTTATTGGACAGTGCACAAGCATTTGTGAGTAATCCATCTTGCTCATTGTGCAACTTACACCATGGTTCGCCGCCCAGGAATTCTCGCTGTGTTTTTCGTGTTACTCAGCGTGTCTCCGGCCACAAACACGTCGGCGTCCCTCTCTCCTTTCACAAAGACTACTTCTACTCGCGTTGGTGTCGAGTGTACCAAGGTTGGCAGCTTTTTCTCCGCAGTTACGAGGTTGTGCATCTGTGAACCATGTCACGTGTGCGAGTTCAAGAAGGTTTCGATGACCTGCGGCTACAAGAAGCAAGAAGGTATGGACTTATCGGACGGGTCAGACCTGACGGTCGATCAACCTTTGCTGTTACCGACGGACTGGTTTCTAACTGAGGAGGAGATCACGGCGTCACGTAATGGTACACCTCGAAGCGACTTGGCCACTTACACGACTGGGAATGACGTGACAACGTACACAGTTACAAAGGAGTACTTCGATGCTGCTTTCAAGGATCTCTCATCTACCGGTGAAGGAGATCGAGTAATGCTGGCTGGTTGGGGTACAGACCTCATTCCTTTTCAACCCGATGTTGACGGTGGCAACAAGTCCCAATTGCACGACGTGGTTGAAGGCGTGATACAACGAGGCGGCAGTTTTCACGCGTTAGTATGGGCGAATTTGTTGAACAAAGCCCAGAATATCAAGGTCCGTGACGACATTAACGCTATCCCAGCATCACCGACGACAGGCGAGAAGCCGCTTTTTCTTTTTGATGATCGAACGCGAACGATTACGTCGACTCACCACCAGAAAAATTTGATTATCGCGGCTACCAATTCCATGGGGAAGGATGAACACCCTGTGGCTTTTGTTGGTGGAATTGACATCACTTCCGATCGCTGGGATACTATGTACCACAATGAGTCGGAGCTACGTGAAGAAACTGGTGTAAAAGGCGACTTCGACGGCTGGTTGGATGGTCATGTTCGAATCCACGGGCCAGCCGCGAAGGATGTGGCTGCAAACTTTATCAGTCGCTGGAACTCTGACTACGAGCCAACACAAGGTCTCGCTCCGGACTTGCTCGACTTTGAAAATCCTACATACGAAGACTTGGAGCCTCTGAAGTACGCAAGCAGCACCACAAAGTCGAACCTAGGTAATCAGAACGTGCAGATCGTACGCACTTTCAGTTGTAAGTACAAGAACTATGCCGAGTTCGCTCCTTATGGCGAGAACTCGCTATTCCAAGCACGTATCAAGGCGCTATTGAACGCGAAGAACTTTATCTACATCGAGGATCAATACTTCATCCTCGTGCCTGAGCTGCTAGAAGCGCTTCTAGAAGTGATGCCCACAATCCAGCGACTCATTGTGGTGGTGCAGCGTCCTGTTGGGGAATCGAAAGCCTCTGGATATGAGAAATATCTCTACGAAATGACCTCTCCTATTCAGAAACTTTACCCAAACAAGTTCCAGATTTACACCACGAAGGAAGAGCTTGATCTCTACATCCACACTAAAGTTGTGATCATCGACGACGTTTACCTATCGGTTGGTTCTGCGAACTGGAATCGCCGTAGTATGATCTCGGACTCGGAGTTGGCAGCCAATATCATTGACGATGAGACTGTGGAATCTCCGGACGGAGTCAAGGTACTAAAAGCCGCACGCGACTTTCGAATCCGCAAATTTCGAGAAATGACGGGTCGTAGCTACGAGGAATTGGACAGCATGACGTTTATCGAGGCCGCGAACCAGTTTGATGTGGTTGCTGCTGATAACTCGAGCATCATTGAAACGTATGAAGTGAAGAAGCAGGCGTACTTTACTGCGATTACCGATATCGTCCGAAAGACAGTAGACCCACAAGACACCTGCACATAGCTGTATGGCGTTTGCATCAATAGATACCTCCATTTACATTCTCGTACTCAATTCTTGACGTACCCAACTTTTGAAAGTTGAGGAGTTTTCATGCTGTACCTATTTTGTTGACGTGCCCAACAGCGGGGTGGTACAATGATTACTGTGCTCATTCATGACGGGGTGCCTTGCTTTTGAGTAAGTCTTCAAAATTCTGTCGACACAGCAAGTACCAGAAGTATTAAATATTCTACAGTCATGGTGAAGTAGACGGTTCTGATTACGGGAAGCAACCGCGGTCTCGGATTCGCGTTTACCAAGCACTACACGAACGCTGGTTGGAGCGTCATTGCCACTTCACGCAAGGGCAGCGACTCCCAACACGTACGAATCAGCCTTTTGCTTCGATAAGCCCTTCGATTTATTTATCTGGACTAATGTGTTGGTTGGCCACAGCTGGAGACCTATCGCCATTTAAGACGCTGACAGTCGACGTCCAGGACGAATCCACTGTGCTTCAGGCTGCAAAGGAGCTCAAGGGTATCCCAATTGACTTGTTGATCAACAACGCTGATATTTATACTGGAGGAGACAGCATGGCATCGACGATCAAGGAGAGTATGATGAAGGAATTTGAGGTCCATGCGGCGGGGCCGCTTTGATAACGCGAGCTCTACTCTCAAATTTGAAGTTGGCGGCGAAAGGCAGCAAGAAATGTGCGCACGTTGTGTAAATGTCGACCATCTATGCCAGCATTGAAAGCGGTGGCGGTCCGCTCGCCTACTGCACGTCGAAGACTGCGCTTCACATGGTCAATCGCACAATGGCGAACGAGTTGAAGCGGGAGAACATTGCGGCCTTTTTGCTTGATCCGGGCATGGTATACACGAACATGCCGCTTAGTAGCTATGAGAGTGAGGGAGTTAAAGTGGTGGCTGAAATGGCCAACGTGATCGGGAAAGCGACGATGACGGATACAGGCAAGCTGATGGACTACAACGGACCATGGTAAGAGGTGTTCGGCAGCAGAATGCTTCTTGGATTGCGTGTGTAAACGTAATTTACTGAATGTTGGTTGCGTTTCAGTGGGGTGCAAAAGTCAACGACTCATACTTGCTTCTGCCTCGATGATCCCACATTCAATCGAGTTCAAATCCCACCTATTGTAATACTACTTAAGTACTTCTGCTAGCAGTATTTTTCTGCTACTATTACTACTAGTAGTACTTCTGTATCAACCCTAGAATAGCTCTACAATTTAATATCTAATACTAATACTACAAGTAGTACTTGCATCGACTGACATATGACTATTAAATCTCAAGTAGTAATACGTCAAGTATTAATAGCAGTATTAGTACTAGTCATCAGTGCAAGACACCTTTGAAGTACTACTGTTGGTGCTGAGATAAGCGCAACAAACTACTATAGTAGTACTACGTAGAATATATATTTTTTGATAAGTACACGCTAGTAAGGATTTCTCTAGAATCCATTGCTGTCGAGCCCGCTTTACGCCGTGCTGTTGTTCCGGATGTAGTACGGCTCCTCCTGGAAGGCCTCCGAGCAGTACGGGAACGTGGCCTCGTCGTCGTTGTTGCTGGGGTTGAAGAGGTTCCTGCCGGCGTAGATCATGACGTAGATGCCGCAAACGGTGCAAATGGTGGCGACAGTCACGCACATGAGCTTCTCCCACGCCGGCACCTTGGTCCAGAATACCTTGATGTAGAAGAGAAGCGGCACGATGAGACTCGAGAGCGTGATGAAGGTAGCGCCCGTGAAGTCCACGAGGTCGAGGAAGTGTTCACGCAGTAGGATCGAGAGAACCACCAGAATGGTGATCATCGTGATACGCATCATGATGTAGCGCAGCACGTTGGCGCCGCCCTTGTATTCAGACAGGTCCTCCTCCGCAACCATCGTGTTGGTCGCAGATACGCGGCCAGAGGGGCGAGGACGCGACACACGCTGCTCGTTGCTCTCCAGGTCGGCGGGCGTCGACGCGTTGAGGTACGACATCTTCTCCTCACCTTCGGCATTCACAGGCTCCACCTTGTGCATGCCCAAAATCATGCGCTCGAACATGTAGAATGCCGGGTGCAGGAAGGTCGAGAAGGCGATCGACAGGTGCATCTGCATGAATAGATAGGCCATGACAACGGCACCACGGTCAGCAATGAAGCCCAGCGTGGTGGTGGCGGACGGATCGGACGTGTTGGCAACTGAGAAGAGCAGGTTACCCGACATCTGACAGCCACCCACAGCATAACCGGAGACGGCAACGGCAATGAAGAAGGCTGAGGCGATACCCAGGCTCACGATAATGACACGGGGCATGCGCTCGGGCTGCGAGTGCTGACGCTGAAGGTCAGGAATGACGGTAGCGGCAGCGTAGGCGAGCGACAGGTTACCGAACGTGGTGATGACCTGGTGGGCCGTCACGTCAGCGGTAGGAGGCGAGGGGTGTCCACGCTCTTCCCACATGAGGATGGCAATACCGATGATATCGGCGACGATCGTGCCCAGGCAACCGGCCACAGCCATACCCGTGCTCTCCTTCATGGTCGGGATAAGCGCAACCGGGACGACCATAAGAGCCATGAAGATGATCCACACCGACTGGCTGAAGCAGTCCGGGAACAAAACGTCGAGCAGAGAGCCACCAAGTACCAGGAAGGCGCAGGGCAGCAGCAGACACACACCCATCTGCGAGATCGTCACCAGGAGACGTCCCGACCGGCCGGCGACCCATTCACCCAGATCACCGTACGTCCTCACAGTAGGCGGGGCAACGTACAGCACCTTGGACAACAGGACCGACGAGTAGATGTTGGCGAACGCCATGAACAATAGCGCAATTGTAGCGAAGAGCCAACCGGCACGAGCGTAGTTGGACGGCATACCGAGCGAACCGATACCACACACGCAGCAGAAAATGTTGAAAGCGGCCTTGGCATCCTCAAACGTGAAGAGTGCAGACGAAGGTGAAGGAGCCATGGTGGATGGTTGTTCACCTAGACGGTAAAATGGCTAATGAGCTTTGGCAGCGAACGGTAAAGCGATCCTGCCGGTTTCTGATGTCTTGGCTCATACACCGACATATCGGAGCCACAATCAAAGACACGTTGCAGTCTCGAGGGCTTCGAAGTGCACTGTGTGTATGGATTGCATCGTTTGGTTGGTTGGATCGTGTGAGTCCGTCTGCGGTTTTCAGAAATAAATGTAGTTTCCGTATACAATGGTCCCCAACCACTCCCCTGGGGACCCTCACGATCGTCCACGATCACCATCGTTTAGTAAAGTTCCTTCAGGAGATCCGGTTCTGATACTGCTGGAGACTACAACGTCGAAGTTAAACTGCACCTTGAAGTCAGCGAGAAAGCATACATGTTGCAGTCCTGTTGGTGACAAGGTTTTGAGATCAATACTTTGCGGCCTCTATTGGTTTCTCGGCGAAGTCTTGATGAATGATTCCTTGCGTTTTCCAAAGCAATTTTCGATTGTATGGATAAAAGTGCACTTTCTATTAGAGCCTACATAAACAGCCAGATTGGATGAGGAAATGCGCGAACTGTATACCGGTAGCTCCACTGCTTCTGGCCCCCGCGCTGCAATCGCTTGAAGCTGCCTCCGACACGCAGGCGTCCCAACCTCAAAACTGGTCTGCAGGCTATCATTTGAGCTGGATAACGCAGTGATGCATTGTCCCCGAGATGCTTCGGTGTGCCGCATCACATTTGCAACGGAAGCATCTCCACTTTATATGTTTATCAGTCAAAAGCTGAAGGATGCGTCCAAATGATCAACTGGACAGAAATTAATTTTTTGTCGAAACCCCAGTGTAAAGCAGTGTAAAACCAAGTTTGGCGTACACAGCAGCAACGCATACCGTACATATACAGTCAATTTTTAGGATGTTGGAGGACACTGTGTCCCCAGAAATTTCTCGTGGAGATCAAAGGCAAAAATTCCAGTCCCCAACAGTGTCCCTCTGCGCTTCTTTACGACTCTCTAGCTCGACCGACCGACGATGCGGAAGTCAGTACATTTACACTCTGCGTGTTCAAGCACAGAAACATACAAGGACGTGCAAACTGCCGTTCGTGTGTCGAAATGTCGTTCACATCTTATTCTTGGAGTCGCTGGCATGGGCTTTGGGGCGAGAACAATCGAGGAGAAACTCATGCATGTACACTTGAAATAAGTCCTGGGGTCTCCAGACCAACCAATCAAGTAGCAAATCGAATGCAGGAAATGCGGGCATGTTGGTCAACATGTTGACACGCCGCGCATCCCTAAAGACAACAGTTCGGTAGCGCATCCCCAACTGACGAGCCTTGCTCGTACTAGTGCGGCGCCCGTACTTATCGTACGTATGGCGCTGCAGATCCACATTTCAGTATTAGATGCTTTCTGTCGCGGCTGTAATCATTGAGGCTTCAATTGGAAACGATCAGATTTTGTCGACGATCACTGTACTACGCCGCCGCGAGTTCCACCCAAAACTTAATATTCTACAGTAAAGAAGCTGTATTGACGTACTCATAAGAACATGTAGATTTTATATAGTCAAAACCCACAACATGCATGTAAATTTGCGGGATTCCTCTCTAATGCATGTGTAGTACACAGTGTACCAATTTGAGCGTGTATTATAATATAGATCAGGTGTGAGCCAAGCTGATTTGTTGCAAGGTCTATTGACCAGGGCTTTCCGTATCTTGTTGAATTCGCCTATGAAACAGCGAGATTCATCCACGTCGATAACATGTACGACATGGCTGACAGTTGAGGTTTTTGAAACCTCAACCCACGGGTTCATCCAAGGGATCACATTACTGGTACTGTGCGGAATGTGGCACCACAAAAGCGTAGGGACGTACAAATAATCTTGGTCAAATGCAAATGGCAACAACCGCGGGGCCCTTCATCACGTTTAACATTGCTAATTATTGTTTATTGCTGTGTGTTTAAGCAATGGCACACAAGTCATGACCCTTGCAAGCGTTATCTAGATGCGTAGATAGAGCGCTGGCTGTTTGCGCAATGGTTCAATGCCGCAACAACAATCACAGAACAGTACATTGACACGTGCACGTGTCAATGTACTGTTCTGTGATTGTTGCTAGACGGATGTCCACCGTGGACATCAACAGCACACGTCTGTAAATTTGGCGTTGATGGTTTGGAGTCCAAACTTTGGGCACGCACATTTAGCTGTACATCTTAGTATAGCATCATCGGCTTCTATCGCCAAATGCCGCGATTCGCGAGGTTAAGTTACTTAAGCGTAGTCTTCATTTTGCCGGTTCGCTGTTCGATATCGCTTTTTCATTGGTGATGTTGACGATTGGCCACACGAACACTATAAACTACGAGTAAAACAATTCCGCGATAGTATTACTATTTATAATACTACAGTACTATAAATAAGTAATACGTTTCAATTGTGCGTCTACATCAAGCGCTATTAAACACTTCCAGTTTCTATTACTAATACTGATACTCCTTGCAGTTGTAAAAGGAGAAGTAGAAGAAATAAAGTAGAAGTTACAAGTACTAGAAGTAGTAGCAGCAAAATATGCTGTACCTACTGCCACATTAGTAGTATTAGTACAAGACAGACACGAGGCAAGAATACTAGTGGATGACACTACTTGCACAGCACTTTCAATATTTAGTAGTAGTTGTAGTAGAAAAAGAAGAAGAAGCAGATGCCGACTTGGTACATGTACTGTAGGTTGAGTGCAAGCATGCAAGCATTAAAAACGTGTATGCGGATATCATGGGTGTCGGAGCATCGAATAATTACACGATTTCTAATATGGTATACATTCTACAATTATCACAATCGCCCTACCACGGTAACACAGTTCCGTTGTGGTCCATCAGCTTGCCTGTATCCGTCATCGTCGCTTTCCCGATCAAGTTGGCCATTTCAGCCACCACTTTAACTCCCTCACTTTCATAGCTACTAAGCGGCATGTTCGTGTATACCATGCCCGGATCAAGCAAAAAGGCCGCAATGTTCTCCCGCTTCAACTCGTTCGCCATTGTGCGATTGACCATGTGAAGCGCAGTCTTCGACGTGCTGTAGGCGAGCGGACCGCCACCGCTTTCAATGCTGGCATAGATGGTCGACATCTACACAACGTGCGCACATTTCTTGCTGCCTTTCGCCGCCAACTTCAACTTTGGGAGTAGAGCTCGCGTTATCAAAGCGGCCCCGCCGCATGGACCTCAAATTCCTTCATCATACTCTCCTTGATCGTCGATGCCATGCTGTCTCCTCCAGTATAAATATCAGCGTTGTTGATCAACAAGTCAATTGGGATACCCTTGAGCTCCTTTGCAGCCTGAAGCACAGTGGATTCGTCCTGGACGTCGACTGTCAGCGTCTTAAATGGCGATAGGTCTCCAGCTGTGGCCAACCAACACATTAGTCCAGATAAATAAATCGAAGGGCTTATCGAAGCAAAAGGCTGATTCGTACGTGTTGGGAGTCGCTGCCCTTGCGTGAAGTGGCAATGACGCTCCAACCAGCGTTCGTGTAGTGCTTGGTAAACGCGAATCCGAGACCGCGGTTGCTTCCCGTAATCAGAACCGTCTACTTCACCATGACTGTAGAATATTTAATACTTCTGGTACTTGCTGTGTCGACAGAATTTTGAAGACTTACTCAAAAGCAAGGCACCCCGTCATGAATGAGCACAGTAATCATTGTACCACCCCGCTGTTGGGCACGTCAACAAAATAGGTACAGCATGAAAACTCCTCAACTTTCAAAAGTTGGGTACGTCAAGAATTGAGTACGAGAATGTAAATGGAGGTATCTATTGATGCAATCGCCATACAGCTATGTGCAGGTGTCTTGTGGGTCTACTGTCTTTCGGACGATATCGGTAATCGCAGTAAAGTACGCCTGCTTCTTCACTTCATACGTTTCAATGATGCTCGAGTTATCAGCAGCAACCACATCAAACTGGTTCGCGGCCTCGATAAACGTCATGCTGTCCAATTCCTCGTAGCTACGACCTGTCATTTCTCGAAATTTGCGGATTCGAAAGTCGCGTGCGGCTTTTAGTACCTTGACTCCGTCCGGAGATTCCACAGTTTCATCGTCAATGATATTGGCTGCCAACTCCGAGTCCGAGGTCATACTACGGCGATTCCAGTTCGCAGAACCAACCGATAGGTAAACGTCGTCGATGATCACAACTTTAGTGTGGATGTAGAGATCAAGCTCTTCCTTCGTGGTGTAAATCTGGAACTTGTTTGGGTAAAGTTTCTGAATAGGAGAGGTCATTTCGTAGAGATATTTCTTATATCCAGAGGCTTTCGATTTTCCAACGGGACGTTGTACCACCACAATGAGTCGCTGGATTGTGGGCATCACTTCTAGAAGCGCTTCTAGCAGCTCAGGCACGAGGATGAAGTATTGATCCTCGATGTAGATAAAGTTCTTCGCGTTCAATAGCGCCTTGATACGTGCTTGGAATAGCGAGTTCTCGCCATAAGGAGCGAACTCGGCATAGTTCTTGTACTTACAACTGAAAGTGCGTACGATCTGCACGTTCTGATTACCTAGGTTCGACTTTGTGGTGCTGCTTGCGTACTTCAGAGGCTCCAAGTCTTCGTATGTAGGATTTTCAAAGTCGAGCAAGTCCGGAGCGAGACCTTGTGTTGGCTCGTAGTCAGAGTTCCAGCGACTGATAAAGTTTGCAGCCACATCCTTCGCGGCTGGCCCGTGGATTCGAACATGACCATCCAACCAGCCGTCGAAGTCGCCTTTTACACCGGTTTCTTCACGTAGCTCCGACTCATTGTGGTACATAGTATCCCAGCGATCGGAAGTGATGTCAATTCCACCAACAAAAGCCACAGGGTGTTCATCCTTCCCCATGGAATTGGTAGCCGCGATAATCAAATTTTTCTGGTGGTGAGTCGACGTAATCGTTCGCGTTCGATCATCAAAAAGAAAAAGCGGCTTCTCGCCTGTCGTCGGTGATGCTGGGATAGCGTTAATGTCGTCACGGACCTTGATATTCTGGGCTTTGTTCAACAAATTCGCCCATACTAACGCGTGAAAACTGCCGCCTCGTTGTATCACGCCTTCAACCACGTCGTGCAATTGGGACTTGTTGCCACCGTCAACATCGGGTTGAAAAGGAATGAGGTCTGTACCCCAACCAGCCAGCATTACTCGATCTCCTTCACCGGTAGATGAGAGATCCTTGAAAGCAGCATCGAAGTACTCCTTTGTAACTGTGTACGTTGTCACGTCATTCCCAGTCGTGTAAGTGGCCAAGTCGCTTCGAGGTGTACCATTACGTGACGCCGTGATCTCCTCCTCAGTTAGAAACCAGTCCGTCGGTAACAGCAAAGGTTGATCGACCGTCAGGTCTGACCCGTCCGATAAGTCCATACCTTCTTGCTTCTTGTAGCCGCAGGTCATCGAAACCTTCTTGAACTCGCACACGTGACATGGTTCACAGATGCACAACCTCGTAACTGCGGAGAAAAAGCTGCCAACCTTGGTACACTCGACACCAACGCGAGTAGAAGTAGTCTTTGTGAAAGGAGAGAGGGACGCCGACGTGTTTGTGGCCGGAGACACGCTGAGTAACACGAAAAACACAGCGAGAATTCCTGGGCGGCGAACCATGGTGCAAGTTGCACAATGAGCAAGGCGGATTACTCACAAATGCTTGTGCACTGTCCAAAAAGCGTGTGCATTGGGGAATTGATAACAACACCACGTAAATGGCTAACAACACCACTTGTGGTACAGTGTACTATAATATCGGTACAAACACGGTTCTAGAGCAGATCTCGAAAATCTGCCGTTCATAATAAGGATATTTACCGCTGGACTCCACAACGAACAAATGAGATTTGATTGGCTAAAAATAATAATTAAAAAATAGAGGAACGAACATTTTTGAAGCCTCTAAAAATACTTTTTACGATAAATTTACATCATCAGTTATTAGAAATACGAACAGACACAACTTGAATGGATAAAACGTGGCATCTATAATATGTAGAAATTCATAAATTTAATTTACTTTTAAGGAGTCAGAACGGTTAACCCTTCTGACTCCAAAATTCATAAAGGGCTATATTCATCCTTTATCATTACCCAATCAGGACTTCGACGTCGCGGATTACTATGACGTAGCTTCAACAAAGAGGGGAGCCTGAAATCTAGTTTTTTTTTTGCGAAAGAACGAAACCGAAGACGCATGAAAAAAATAACGACTACCAATGCTTTTGGTGTTTGGCTGCGCCTCGCGAGTGGATGCGCTATGGGAAGCGGCAGGAAGCGAGTTATGACCGGATGAAAGTTTTTCCCCTAACAACAATCTCACGAGCCCTATACCAGATATAATTCTATTTAAAACATGGCCGATTCGACGCGGGCCTTCCTTCACGCGTAGCGAGACTTGTCCAACTCCGGACCGACTTGATCTCTTGGTGCTGCCGTGTTCGATACTCTACAAGCTATGCCTCTCGAGTATCAACGGCAGGCATAATCCAGGCCTTGCGCAGTGACTTACCGGAAGTGTACGCTAGTCTTGGACTTAAACAAATTCTGCACTGTTTGTTGCTAGCTTCCTAAGAGCCGCTAGGGGTCTATCTACTCTTTCCTATAGTCATATACATATTCCTAATGAAATGAAGTCGTTTCGGATCTTGTCTGTCTTGCCGTTGAGTCTTGTCGGAAACCGTTCGTCGAGTCCATGGCCGCTGAGTTGCATCCCGCTGAGTGCCGTCCGCTGTGTTGATTTCCGCTGAGCCGGCGACGGCTGAGTCGGGCCCCGTTGAGTTGCCGACCGCTGAGATGGATCCCGCTGAGTCGGTCATACCCGGCGACTCGATTCTCACCAAATAAATAGTTATCCACTCGGCTTCGGCCGAGTCGGCGATACAGATAGCGGAACCGACTCAGCTGGCGGTCACTGATTATGCGGACTCAGCGGGAAACCAGCCAAGCCTTTATTTCCGCTAAGTCGGTGGTCGTTGAGTCTACACCCGCCGAGTCAGTGACCGCTGAGTCGACTCTGTGTTTTTTTTTTTAGAATTCAATTTCCGATAGTAAAACGACGTGTGGTGGAATACCAGCAATGCTTTGTGCCGCACCATCCAAGTCAGCATCCGAACTGTATAGTTTAGAATTATTAGTACGTGATTTTGAGGCTATTGTGCTTGCCCTGGTAAGGGCAACTTCTTCATCTAGATCCGTAAGGTTGGTGTCCATCTGTAAATCGTAGTGTGATCTTTCAAGCCGTCCGGCTCCGGGATTTTCCAGGCAATTCGTAATTATCATGAAAAATATTTTTAATCTTAACAGTCCTGTTCGAATTTTTATAAAACTTCGTAGTTGTTATTTATAGTTGCTGATATTTATAATTAAAGCGCTGCATGCATCAAAACAAAAACCTCAAGTCCAGGGCGATGCCGATCGACTTGGTCGAAGAATATGACTATGAGGGCGTTACCTTGTACGCAACATTTCTAGAGGGAGATGTAGCTGGCAATTTCATCTCGGATGTGGCTCTGAATGAGAGCAAGTCTGTGCGGTTGAAAAACAACAGTGTCAATTACCGAAAATGGGTTTGTTCGGCGAGGGGGTGTAAATGGTTCGTCGCATGTCAAGGAAACGTGTTAAACAAGATACGAAGAGTACATGAAAACGTCCTATTACGAAGCTCAGTCATGTACCGGATAACGCTTGGTATATCTCTAAAGTGGATTTAGATCATTCCCAGTGTTGCTGTAGCACGGCCAATCCTTCCGGAAGTCAAATTGTGAGATCGTCAGGCTTTCAGGCGGCAGTTTTGGAGGGATATAACACGTCAAAACAACGTATTGTACGTAACTTACAAGTTGTGGAAGGAATCGACGTGTCGTCGAATTCTGTTCTCTACCGAACTATTAGTTCAGCACTGACTAAATTGGAAAGTGATTCTAGTGAGGAATTTCAAGCTTTTTCATCCTATTTAGAGGCATTTGCCAAGGAGAATCCTGGACCAAGGGTGTGCTGTCAACTCGATCATGCTGGTAGATTTTTCCGAGCTTTTCTTTCTATTGGTCCCATTGTGAACGTTCAAAACTCACTGCTTCCAGTGTGGGAGTGCGATGGCACCCACATGAAACATCCTAGATACAACGGAATTTGCTTAACATTAATTGGAAAAGATGGAAACAAGCGCATCGTACCGGTAGCTGTTGCGTACATCCACAAGAAGACTGTGGGGAACTTCGTATGGTATTTTGCAAACTGCGTAACTAGTGGAGTTTTACTTCGTGATCGGCCAACGTTTTCTGATTGAGGAAAGCAACTCTTGGCCCAGATTGCTCTCTTTAGCATGGGTTTACCAGTACATATTAAGTTTTGTGCTGTTCACTTTCGCTTTAACACAGTCGACAAGTTCAAGAAAGTTAAAGTTACGATTGCAAACGTAAACGACTCGATTATGAGTCGGCAATTTTCGCGGACAATTCGCGATTTTGAGAGGAACATTGAGAATTTACGGAAGCGTTTTCAGAACGACATTACATCTATCAGAGATGAAAAAAAAAGTAGAAGAGCATGTGTGGTCTTACCTTAAAGCTATCCATCCAATGAGCTGGACTGTTCTGGGCAATAGTATCCTGACAGCTCATGAAAATAAGTGGATCGAAGATAACTGGAAAGATATTCCGGCTTACGGAGAGGGATTTTCACTCGTCGGGGTGCGTTCTACTAGTGGTGCAGAAGGAGATAACAATGGGTTGCTTTGGAAACGAGCGCGAAATAATCTTGTTCTGGGCGCTGTGAAAGCTTATTGTTTGCGCGCCGTAGAAACGCACAATACTCTTTTACAGGAAGCAAAAGGTTGGATAGCTGGTGAATTTGACATCACGCCTCATGCGATGAAGCTTTTCGAAGCAGGGAAGAAACACGTAGCGAAACTCACCGATGTGCCGATTAAAGGCTATAGCTTTTATGTGTTTGACCCTTTCGACCGTAGCGACGTAGCATCCTCCACAATGATGTACGAGACGAACTTAGCTTTCGGGATATGCCGACCATGTCGAGTACAAGAGCAGCTGAGAATCCCTTGTCGCCATATCCAGGCCGTGCTATTTGACTTGGGGCGAAAGAATCCTGGAAAGTCATCTTTGTACTCTGTTCTACAGTATTTCCATCCAGCATATTTGGCCAAAACAGTCCATAAAGCAATGAGCGACGTTATTATAAAATTACCTGTTGGCGGCATTAGTACTCATGGCTCGACAGTACTACCAGCACCGATAAAACGTCCGGCTGGAGGTTCTCGCAGAGCTCGAATTGTCGATGCACAGCGTGGTGAAAAGCGTATTCGAAGCCGAGATGAAGAGCCGAAGTCTTCACGGTCGAAGTTGAATTCTCACCCCCTGTTAAACGCAGAAAACACCGATGAACATGATGATACTTCAGCAATCAACGCGGTTTTCGAGTCGCAGATTACGGCCAAAAGCACACCAGGCAGATCCCAGTATACCTGTTCAAAATGCGGAGAGGTTGGACACAACGTCACTACCTGTACATTCACTGGCCAAGATGTAGAATTAGTAGATGAAACCATACGGCCCGGAGAATACGTTCTTGGTTCTTCTCCACTGGAGGCTTGTGGAGTTTCAAGAAACAACTTTATAGGAACCGATTACGAATGAAAAGCGATGTTAAGTACCGGACCACAGCACAGCTGAAGTCAGGAAAACTACTATCATACTCACAACTGTACTCGGTATTTGGCTCGCCTTAAAAAATAAGAAGATAGTATCCTGCTTGTGGCGAACGGATACTGTAATACAGCAAAGAGTTGCCATGAGAGAATATAAAACCAAATAAAAAAGTGGAGATCTACCTGTAAAGCTCGTAAAGCTCTACCTGATGTGAGTGATTCGGCTGCGAACAAAAGTGCATCATATCTTGGAGAACGTTACGGCTCTTATTATTTTCCAATTACCGAACGTTGTTTCTTCACATCATTCTGGTCTTGTTGTAAATGTGTGCAGTGTGGTGTCTAGAGTTAAACGCAGCTAGTTGAAAAAGACACCATATCATGACTTACAGCAACGCGTATCATGGGCACAGTTGCAGCGAGAGGAGTACTGTAAGTCGGCCGTGTCATCACCGACGTGGGACTTGAACTCGCTGAAAAAATGACCGCTTCCGCGGTCTTCACCACAAACTCCGTCGTCTTCAGTGTCTTCATCGTAACTGAAGTCATCTTGTTAGTCTTCCCTCCGACCCTTTCTTCCTGTACTCCTACCTGATGTTGTCATCGTGAGCTTCTCTTCGATGCAACCGTGGTCTTCTCTACTGTGATGCTCATTAGATCGTCGGCTTGGACCTCTTGTCGATAACACCGCTACACAGAGCTGTGTTCATCAGTCAACGAGCAATATCCTGTCAGATTATACATGTTAACTAGTACCAGACAAATGCTTTGCCTCAACATTGCAAATGGACCACACTTACTAGTCGATCAGTGCAATACCTTTGAAGAAATGATGTCGTTACCGTACAGATCGCTGGAGTGGGTAGGTACAACACGAACCCGCAATAATAATCTTCAGTAAAGTATATTTAGAACCGGTAGGGTGTTCAGTGAGGATGCAGTGCGATTTGTAGGCGATAGAACTAATTGTACAGCGAGCGACATCTTGCACCGATCGCAATTAGATAAAGCTCATAGATAGAAACCATTGCTCTAAACCACTTCGCAAATTTTTATGGCTCATCCATCGCCCAGCAACCTAAAACTTTCATCGCAGTCGTGTAAGATGCCAGGATTGACGTACGGATATATGAACAAGCCGCCAGAAAGTTCATTTTGTGCATCTAGAAATTGTTGAACTACTGGGTTCTACAGCAAAACAATAGTAGTATATTTCTTTTTTCTACTGGCAGACGATATTACTATCAACCGTGGTTGTAATACTTTGAGCTGCAGATTCGAATGTGTTGCCCCGATGGTTCAATATGTTGCCCAAACTTTGCAAGGACCATCACAATAAGATAATGTTTGGACCTACAAATTTTAATTTGTTGCCTCGATTGCTTCATAGTGCAGCCAAAATCTGCAAGTACATTTGTGTTAAAAGCTTTCCTGCACTGCGAATAATTCTATCATAGCAAAATTACTTGCTGAACACCTCTCGAGCCATCTCTCTCTATCGTTGCTCTCCAATCCTGTGAATCGCTACAAAGTTGTAGGACTCGCCTACAACTCTTCGACGAATCCATCGCAGAGATGAGCATCACCAACACACGCTTGATCTTCTCCTCCACCGTTGCTAATGTAGCCCCATTATTTTTGTTGCTGCGAGTACAACCGGAGCTGACGCCGCACTCACAAAAATGGACTGCACTAGAAAAACAATCCGCTGCCCTAGCATCCGATTTACACCAGTAACTTGAGTGGCCGCTGATTTGCTACCACCAGTCTATACACTACTTGCGCTGGGGCAGCAGGAACTTGTAGATTAGGATTTTTAACAGCGTCAGTCCCAACCACTGCACAGCCGTCTCTCTTCTATGGAATGCCTGCGCAACAGCTCGCGGCAGCTTCACCGTTGCTCCTCAACCGCCTTTTACGTTTTCTTATCCGCAGGCATCTTCTTGTCCTCTCAATTGACAGGCTTGATCACGCCACTCTTCGTGTAACTCACGATCAGCTTGCTCTTCACATCGATGTGCTTGGCACTCGATGACGCCATCTCACTCTCCAACCGTGCCAACGCAGCATGATTGTCCACACGCAATCCTATGGTTCACGGGCTCCCTCCTCTCTCAGGAGCTCTCGTATTCCGAGAAGTTCCAGATCCAATAATGCCGCGGCGGTGAACTCGGCCTCCATGGGCAAGAGGGGCATTCCGTCTTGCTTCCTGCTTGTCAATCTCACTGATATACCATCCACCATGATCAAACCACCGGTGACGGACTTCCGATCCTCCTTGTCTGCGGCAATGTTCACATCGCTGTGTGCGACCACTCTCAATGGGTTACCCTGGCCCCTGGCTCCTTGATTTCACAAAACACAGACACTTCGTGTCGGCCAAACGTTTTGCTTCGCGATCTTTCAGTCACAAGTGGTCGGATTGTATGTGTGTCGCGGCACTGTATGCACAGCGAACGCGATGCCCGGCCTCGTGTAAATCTATAGCAAATTTCCTACGTCCGACTGGAACTTTGCGGTAGTCACCGGGTTGCTGCCACCGACCGCCGGCAACAGCTTGAAGTCCGGGTCGACACTCCGCTCCAATTATCTCCAATCGGCTCAGAACTGCTCAAGGTTTTGGGCAGGTTCGTAAGTGTCACCTGGTCCAGCGCGTAGCTGCCCGTGTCGTCATACGACGCACTCATCCCCAGGAAGGATTTAAGAGGCGTACTGTACCGCGTCCCCCAGAAAGGAAGAGGAAGACCGCGAGCAATGATCACCCACCGTGCCATATTCATAGTGCTCCCATGCATTCTTTCTGCCTTCTCATTACTTGCCTGATTCCTTGCTACACTTCGCTATCTAATCACACCCGTCCTCTTGCAAATCATGCGTCCGTTGGTTTCCTATTTTGCAGGCACACTCTCCCTAAAACAACACTAGAAGGTGTCCAAACTGCTTCGCAGCAGCGTCCTTGGTCCTCGCTAAAAAGCCCCTACAGAAATTTCTTTGCTGAGCCGATTGTGGTGTCATCGGACCATTAAGGTTCAAACAGATCCCTCCACCGATCTTGTCGATGGATATTTATCTCTAGGGACCACATTAACGCGAGAATTTATCACCAAGGACCACAACTGATGGGATTGGTAGTTAGTAGTGATGGGGTTGTACAAGACTTGAGGACGCCACTGTACTTACCTATCTAGGCAGCAACACGTACAAAAATAAATTTGTATTTTTGAGATGTTCTTGTCATACTCAAAATCTGCATCGCTCTCACAGCAAACTCTATCGTCAAAATGCCCCAGCTTGACTTGATGCGTCTGTACGACCAAGACCAGTGTGTTTTACACGCTTTTTTTGTTGATCTTTCGACAGCGGGTGCCTTCGTAAAAGACTACGCGTTGAACGAGAACAAGAGTGTGTACCGGAAGTACGCGTACGGAAATATGAAGACTTGGGTATGTACTTCGCAAGGCTGCCGGTGGTTCGTTACATTCACGAAAAAAAGACCATCTAAGTCAGCGCTCGACAACACCAAGTCAAAACGTGTGTCTAAGGTCGCTCATATACCTGCAGGAGCTTGGTACATCTCAAAGCTGAACTTGGTCCATTCGCAGTGCTGTACCAGTTCGCCAGATTTACATGGCCGTCAACTTCAAGAACTACCTGCATTTAATGCTACAATTGTTGATGGACATAGTACTGCTTTGGCTCGAGTTGTCAACAGTGTTAAGGCGATTGAAGGTATCAATCTTCAAAACAAACCAGCCGTCGTATACCGAGCCATAGGCAAAGCTAAAGCCCGACTCACAATTAGTCCAGAGGTCGAATACGGTCAGCTGCCGGGGTTTTTGACCGCCTTTGCTTCGGTTAACCCCGGTTCTCGAGTGTGCCTTCAGTTGGACTCAAAGGATAGATTTTATCGACTGTTCCTATCAATTGGAAGCGTTGTGGCTATTCAGGATGCGCTGCTGCCAGTGTGGGAAGTGGACGGTACGCACATGAAGCACCCACAATACAATGGTGTATGTTTAACGCTTCTTGGCAAGGACGGAGACAAGAGAACGATTCCAGTGGCTGTCGCTTATGTTCACAAAGAGACTATTGATAACTTTGCATGGTTCTTTTCCAACTGTGTCCTAGCTGGCATTCATCTCGATGATCGGAGCACCTTTACAGATAGAGGGAAGCAGCTAGGAGCTCAACAGTTCTTGGCGCAATGGGGCATAAAGGTACACCTCAAGTTTTGTTCTCTCCATCTACGATTCAACACGATGGATAAATTCAAGTCATTGAGCTTGGATGAGTCGAAGGTCAACGAAGACATCTTTTGTTTACAATCTTCACACTCCACCACTTCGTTTGATGGTTCAATCAACCGTATGGAAATTCGATATCCTCAAACGATTACTAAAGAGGTTGGAAGCAACATTGTCCATGAGTCCATGTCGACCTACTTGCTTGGTATCCATCCGACGAGTTGGACTGTTATCGGCAACATGAAACCGTCCAGTGACGAACAGAAGTGGCTGAAGACTTTGTGGAAGGGAGTTGAAGCCTATGGCGACGCCATGCCTCTCTTCGGCATTCGTACAACAAGTGGTGTGGAGGGAGCCAACAATGGACTGCTATGGGGTGGTGTCCGAAGCCAACGCGTGTACAATTCTTTACGAGCGTTTTGCCTCCGTGCGGTAGATGTCTGCACGAAGCGATTGGCTTTAGCAGCGAAATGGAAAGCAGACGGCTTTGAATTGACCCCACACGCAATGAACCTAATGAAGCAAGAACAACGCGGCGTCGGCAAGCTGACTGTGATGCCTACGGGCACATGCATCTTTCTCGTCTTTGATGCATTTGATGCATCGGCGATGGTTGGCAACGTTAAGTTGTACGAAGTCAACATGTCTTTTGGCCAGTGCTCGCGATGTGTGGCTTTTGAGCAACTTCGGATCCCGTGCCGTCATATTCAAGCTGTAATATACCGACTTGCATCCGACAATAAGGGGATGCAATTGCTGTACAGACCTCTGCAATACTTTCATGGCGCATATGCGGTTGACGTGCTGCACACTGCGATGTCAACCGTTTCGATACGCATACCGACCGAGGCTTCAGTGGAGACGTGCGAGACGATAAGGCCTCCGCCTCAATATCGACAAGCTGGAACTTCCCTGAAGCGGAAAACACAAAAAGCTGATCACGCTCGCGGCTCAAAGCGAACACGTAACAAAGTAGAAGGCAGGATCAAAATCTCGGGCCCTCGCAAGCGCAATTCATCGGCACGCAGTCTGACCTCGATGTCAACGCTGAGGGGGCCTCAGAGCACACTGATACCGTAGAAGCAGAAGTCGGAGATGGAGATGGGGGCTCTGATATTGCAGCCTGCTTTGATACACAACTAAGTGCACCAACAGTGAAAGAGCGACGGCAGTATCGCTGCGGCCAATGCAACAATACCGGTCACAACACGAAAACATGCACGAACGCGAATCAGGAACATGAAGAAGCTGGAATCCCAATCGTACCCGGGAAATATCTTGTTGGAGATTGTCCTTTTTCCATCTGCGGAATACAGAGTGGATATGAAAAAGCAGTTGAAGATTAGATTTCCTCAGATTCATTTTAATGTATTCCAAAAGTTAATGCAAGGACACGAACCATTGTGTCCAGTGGAGGGAGTCGTCAATAAGTTTTTCAAGCTTCCTCGTTCACGTTTCAATAGAAGCTGCCAAAGCATAGGATGTACCATCTTCGATAATCCTAAGGAACCTATAACAACACGGAGTATTGTGAGGGGCCGGCAACCAGTGTGAATAATATTAGAAAATACCTTGAGGTGCTGTGTGCTGTCGTCGATGCGAGCTCAATACAATCAAAACAAATATTGAAAGACAGGCGTTAAAATATACTCCATTCACATTGCTTCGTGTTTACTTACGCGTGTAGTAAATACGCCGATCATCATCTCCAATAGCCGGCCACTCAGCGCACCTCCCTCGGTTTAAACAGCCCTGGGCCTTGTTACCACACCGCGCACTGCCAACTCCCTTGGTGGTAGCGGTGGCTTGGAATAACCAGCTCTTGGAGAATCGTAGAGTGATAGAACGATGGTTTTCTCTGTTGAACCGTTCCCAGGAACATTTCTCACATTGAAGCAACTAGACCCAACATCACTAACTACCAATCCCATCAGTTGTGGTCCTTGGTGATAAATTCTCGCGTTAATGTGGTCCCTAGAGATAAATATCCCTTGTCGATTGGGAAGTGCTCTCCCATGTCTTTAGACACTTGATGTTCTTTGTCGGCATACCCTGAGCACAGGTTAAGCAGTTCACACGCTCGCTTGTGATCAGTCAGCTCGATGCCGGAGCTCCAATCACACACCAGACGCTCTATCGCGCCGAAAGTGAGGTGCCCAAGGCGCTTGTGGAACTCCAGGAGCGTGCCCTTCTGCACCGCACTCGCCATTTCCTCGGACGCGTTGACTTCTCCACCATAGCCACCACGATGACCTCAGACGTCATCACGCTCCACGTATCCACGGAGCCTCGCCACACCAACATATTCCTAAGCAGTTCATGGTCGAATGCCACAGACTCGTCGGTCTTGGCGGCGACCACCCGCTTGTCGTCCTTGCACGACAACGTGTAGCCTTTCTCGTTCAACTTGCCCAAACTAATTCAGTTAAGCACTACCTCCGCAGCGTAGTATACATCTGTGAGTTTCTCTGCGCGTGCCTTACCACACGCAGTGACAACCAGCCCTTCATCGTCGTGTTCAGTGGCTCCCCGTTTGCAGACGCGCATCGTTGCGGACCACCACATCTTCTAACCACGACTCGCCACTTGCAAGATGTCTGCTGGGTCCGCTCTCAAGGATCTACGTACCATCGACCTCGGCTAGATCATATACTTTCTTTGTGCTCGGCCAAGATCCGGACACGCTGCTCGCAGGTGCCCTGCATGGTTGCACTGATGACAATGCCTCGTTTCTTTCTTTGTGTCCTTCTCCCACCAGATGCATGTGGCGCTCGGGCCACGTTCTACGACTCTCCTTTTGAGCCGTAAACAGCCATATCGCCTGGACCAATGCGATGCTCGTCTTAAATGCTTCAAGCATATTTTTTTTCATGACGTATTGTAAGAAGCTGGCCCCACCAAGTTTCAACTTCCTTATTGTAGTACCGTTCTGCTGTGCCGGACAGATAAAATCCAATGAGGTCCACCTTGAAGGGTTCCGGTTACGCAAAGCCACACGCAGATTGCGCGATATGTACTTGCCTCTCGATTCGACGGGCCCACTCCAGGAAGCTGGACCCGAGTTCTACATACAAGTCTTTCCAATCAACAGCCAGATTTTCTGTCTTACATCGGGGTACCCCCTCCCCGTTATGCTCCTGAACCGGAAATCGTCCGACCCCAGACTATGTCCCTCGGAGGCAGCGGAGCTGGACCCGCGGGTCCACGGGCCGGTGATGCCTGCGCTGCTGTGTACAGTCGCTGCAGTTCGAACACCAGCAGCCCATTTCCCGGCTGCTGCTGTCTGAATTACTCTGGTGCTACCACCAGTCTTCGCGGAGTCGCCGCGATTGGCGTACTCGTGAACCAGCCAGAGAGGCTAGATGCATCCTTGCGCCCCTTCTGAAGTCCGACGCAAACAAAATGGAGTCCATGGGCGGTGTCATCGGGTGATGAACGTTGCGCGCACGTCTGTCGCCGTCTCCGGACACCCTACTCGACTTTGCCTGTGACTCCTCAAGTTGCTTGAACCACGCTTCGAAGCATTTCATTAATGTCAGCATTCTTGTCATTTTATCTGGTTCCCTTTCCTCGTCAGTCGCTGCACGACCTTGGAGGTTGTTGCCACCATCCCTTTCGCGAACGATGGCGGTGCTCGTCTCTTCGGCACCACCCGCCATCCCAGCCCTTTTGCGACTGGTCATCGGCGCCGGCGTTGACGGTGCAGCTCCGTCACGTGCTTCTTCAACATTGGTAGTGGTCTTTAGGATCAAGGACTGTTGGATGTTGGTCGTTTAGATCGACCACGCGCTTATGATTGATAATGCAAAAAAAGGAAGTGGCATTTGTTCTGGTATTTTTTCTATCTTCTCTATCCACTCATCAGAGCCACACAAGTGGTTTGTATCCACCACAGGTCCAGCGTTGAGGTCCCAGCAGCTGCAAGACATACATACGACACGCCGCTGCTATCTCCCTGATTGGCTCTTTTCAACAGGGGGGGGAAGTACGCGTACGGAAATATGAAGACTTGGGTATGTACTTCGCAAGGCTGCCGGTGGTTCGTTACATTCACGAAAAAAAGACCATCTAAGTCAGCGCTCGACAACACCAAGTCAAAACGTGTGTCTAAG